CAGCCCAGCACCTCGTCCCCAGGGCTCCCCCGACCGCAGCCCCCGGCACAGCCTCCCTGCGCCTCTCCCATGCGGGGCAGGAGCTCCTGCTGCCGGTACTCAAAGGGCAGCTCGGCCTCGCCGCCCGCCCACCCCTCCTCAGCCGGCGGCGTCCCCGCCGGGTCGTCGGCCACGGTGCAGCGCAGCAGCGAGCAGGTCTCCGCGCTCGCCTCGGGCACCTCTTTGTCCCAGACCAGCTCGGTCACCAGCAGCTCTGTGGGGTCGATGTTTTCGGAGGGCTCCAGAAAGCCTGGCTGTGGCTTCGCCTGCGGGGACAGGGCAGGTCCTCAGCATGCAGCGGGCGCGTGCCGGCCTCGCGGGGCCCTGACGCACATGGGGGAGGAACGGCACGATCCCTGGCCCCTTCCTGGAGCACGAGGTCCCGTGGTGCTCATGCCCCCTCCCCATCCCCTCCAGCAGCCCCTGCCGTCTTCTGAGGGCGCGCGCTGCGGGCGGGGGCTCACCTGACTCATCTCGGGAGCCGGGAACTTGACGGCTTCGCTGCTCCCTGGCTTGGGCAGCAGCGGGCAGAGCAGGCTCTTGGCCCTGGGAAACATTTGCAGTGGGTGGTTAATGGGCAGACGTGCGACGGGGCGGAGGGGCGGGCGGGGGCTGCCGGCGCATTCACCTCTTCCTGGTGACGTGGTAGAGTGTGGCCGAGACAGGGACGACCACGAAGATGGCCAGGAACCAGAGGTTGGCCTTCACCGCCGACAGCTGGGAGCCTAGGGGCAAGCGCAGGCTCGCTCGGAAACTGCTGGGGCCCTCGGGACTGCGTGCTAGTGTCTGCCGGGGCCCGCGCGCCCCATACGAGCTGGTGCAATCATTGCCATGTCCCTGTGCCCCTGCAGCCTCCGAGGCCGGCTCCTGGCATGACCGGCAGCTGTCTGCGCTCAGGACTGTGGCTAACGGGCAGTGGGACTGCCCCCCTGCCCCAGCGCCCAGCGCATCCCAGCAGGCTCTGGCCCGGGCTGCCATGACCTGCGTCTCTCCCCCAAATGAAATGCGCTGGGTGCCCAAGGCAGGGTCCTGGGTATTGGGGGCAGAGCTCTGCGGGCCTCTGGCTGCCCCCGAATGCGATGCAATGAGAGCCGTGGCTCTGGGTGTGCATTTTACACTAGGCTCATGGGGGAAGCACGGGGAGGGGTTTGCTGGCACCCCTGCACCCCATGTTCTGGACCGCGGAGATGTGGGGGGTGGAAACCTGCGTCGGCCCCCTCCCAAAGACAAGCCCGGCCAGGGGAAGGCGCCTGGGCCATTACCGAGCTCCTTGGTTGTGAACAGGTGCTGCGGCCGGCAGGTCCTAGCTGCGCGGGCTGTGACGGCCTGAATCCCCACTCGGTACGAGGTGCCGGGCTGCAGGCCCCGGAGCGTGAAGTGCGTCACCGAGGCGTTTGCTTCATGATCTGCTCAGACAGCAGTGAGGTGAGCCCCAGGAACCCCCTCCTGCCCCGCGTGCAGCCGCCTTCAGCCCCTGCTCCCCTGCAACTTGCCCCCCACCGCAGCGCCGGCCACACCTGCACGGGGCCGTGGGCTCCCTCCTTCCGCCCGCTCTCACCCGCATCGCTCCCCTTTGCCCTGCGCTCTGCTTTGCCCCTTTGTCCCCTTCCTCTCCGCTTGGTGCAGCGGGGCACAAGTGACGCCAGCGGCCCGAGGCCGGCCGTGGGCTGCCGTCGGCGTTGTGCCCAGCGGGAGGGACGGCGAAGGGCCCTGCACTCACACGCGGTGATGTTATCCCGCTCGGCCGCGCAGCACACGACGTACTTCTGGAGAGCGCCAGGGCAGCGGGCGAGGGGCAGCTCCTGCCACTGCAGGGAGGCGGAGGCCTCGGTGACGGTGATGTGGAGAAGCCCGTCCAGGGTTGCTGCGGGAAGGGGAATGGCAGCAGCTGGCGGCGGGTTCGCCTATGCCTCGGGGGCAGGACGGGCCTGGTGCCATCAGTGTTTCACGGGCACAGGGAGAGGCGTCTGCCCCTGCCGGCTGAGGGCACGTGGGAGGTCAGGCAGGGCCCCCGCAGCCACTCGGGCTGGGGCCGGCCGCTTCCCCTCGTCTCGGGGCTGCCCCGCTGTCGCTGCTTGGACGCCGTCCTGCAGGCCCAGGCGTGCAGAGCTGCAGGACTTGGCCTGTGCCACCCTGCGCTCAACTACTCACCGGTTCCCGTGAAGTGGTACGTGGCAGCGAACGTGGCCCAGCTGCGCCCGGGTCCCTGTCCGTGAATGGCGATCCGGTAGCACCGCCTGGGTTCCAGCACGCCTGGAGCACACACCCGGAGACATTACCAACCCGCCCGATGTGCCGCAAGCGCCTGAACCGTGACCCTGCAGCATGTGCCGGGCTGCCCCGGGGCACGGCCAAGACCGTGGCTCTGGCTGCACCTTCCAACCAGGTTTTTTTTCCCCGTTTTCTGGGTTTTGTGAGGTTCTGGCATAAGTGAAAGGTGTGATAGCACAGGTCACAACGGTGCCATGGCCGAGTCACAACCTGGGCTAGGAAACCTGGAGACGGTGCCCCACGCTGAAGCTTTGCCCTTCCCTAGCACGGGCTGCCCGGGTGCCTCCCAGACCTTGGATGCAGGGTTTGAATTATACTTTGACTCTTGAGGGAGTCTGCAAAAAAAATTGGTCTGCCCAACACGATGCCTTAATAAAATCAGAGACCCCCCAAGGTTATGATTTCAAATCTTATAGGGAAGCTTTCATCTCTTATGGGAGGGCTCAGCCTTCCCCAACTCCCCTGTAATTCAAACCCTGTTTGGATGCAGCCCTTCTTGACCCTTTAACTGGGAAGGGGGGCCAAAAGGAGAGTCAGGCCACAGGAAAGGGGCGAAGAGGAAGATGTTCTTGCTACCTGTCTCCGTGTACGTGCCCGTCTCCACGAAGGGTTTCTGGATGCAGTCCGCAGGCCTCCTATTATCTCCCAGTAGCTGCTTCTCAATGCAGTAGAAGGTGCCGTTGGCCTTTGCTGCCCACTGCACCGTGGTGTTGGTGCCGGCCGCGCTGACAGCCAGGAAGCTGATCTCTGGGGTGGGACACAGGCAGCTGTCTCAGCAGAGCTGGGGCCGAGTGTTAGGGTGACAATGTTTGGATCTTGGGGAGCACCGGATTTGCAGCTGAATAAAGGCTTTAATCTGTGGCTCAGTAAAGCTGCTGAGCACAAGGCAGAATGCTATATTACAAGTAACAGTGCGAGATGCTTAGGCAAGCAGTTTTCTAACGATGTGGTAGTGTGCAAGATATATAATTCATTGTGCAAGGAGAACGAGATGCAGACCACCAGCTAGCCAGGAGATAAAGCAGAAGCAAGACCTTGGAGATGGTGCTGAAATCATCAAGAAACAGCAAGTGGCCCCGGATTCCTCCGGTCACGGTCTGGACACGTGCTCTTAGCAGAAAGACATGTAAATGCACAGGTAATTCCATGCTAATGAAGTAAACAGAGGCGGAGCCTGAGGTAGGAGCGGGGATGGGTGGAACAAAGGAGGGGCAAAGGTGGAGTAAATGTCAATGAGTGTGAGCAGAGGTGTATAAATGTGAAAAGACCTAATGTTCGTTGCTGCTCCCCTGTTTGTTGGGTTTTGGGAGCTCGCCCGGAGCGGTCTCCATTCTGTTGTGGAGCAATGTGTGCTGGGGTTTGCCCCCCGAGCAACTGGATCCCGAGCAATTGGACCATCGTCTCCCTAGTCTGTTGGGCACCGCATGGAGTCGGGGTCTAACGCCGAGCAGGGGGCAGGTGTGTGCGTGTGCACATGCACGCACACTTATGCGTTCGAAGTAACTCGAGGAAACTGTCTGTCCCCTAGAGCCTGGCAGAGGACTGCTCTGCCCCGCACCCCCGGCGGAGGCAGCAGTGATCCTGGGAGGTGCCCTGGGGCAGGGGAGGGCGACAGGGTCCCTGTACCTGTGTCCGGGTCTGGCGGGATGTGGAGCGGCCAAGCGGGCCCGCATCCAGCCGCATTGGCCGCGCTCAGCGAGATGCTGTACTCCGCCCCCGAGAGAGCCAGGTTCAGCTCCACCACGTCCTGGAGGGTGATCTTGGCCGCGGGCTCCCCGCAGCCACACGTCAGCATGCGGACGGCCACGGTGTAGGTGACGTTGCCTTGCTCCTCGCTGGCTTTCTGGGGCAGTCAGAAGGGGCATCAGCAGGCGCCCCTGTGCCGCATGGTGACCCAGCTGCCAGGCTCCCCGGCCTGCTCAGCAGTTGGGAGCTGCTCTCACCGGGGCCACCCCCCAGGTGATTGCGTTGTGGCCCCAGGAGGTCGGGACCCCCGAGTACCTGCCGTGGCAGCTGGCGTGGCGGAGGGAGGGTGTCCGGGGCAACAGCCCCGTCACCGGGTGCTTAAAGCAAGGCTTGGGCTCCCCTTGCCGCAGTGCCAGGGACCGCGAGGGACGGAGCCCTCGGGCCAACCACGCTCGCAAGCAGGGGACGGGGCTCAGGCCCAGGAGGCCACGGTACCTGCCATTGCAGGGTCAGGTTCCTCCGTCCACTCTGGCCCAGTCTTCCCAGCGTGTAACTCGCCCTGGGCCTCTCAACGAGTTCTGGAAAGGAAGCGGTGACGTCGGCCACGTGCTGGTCCTGGCAAGGCCCTGCCCACTGCGCCCCTGACCACACACGCAGCGCTGGGCATGACTGGGACGTGCTTGAAGCCAGGCTCCAGCGCTTGCAGGGCAGGTCCTGCCGCCCTCACCTGCAGGGACGAGGATGATTTGGCTCCAGTCGCTCCAGGTGCTGCTCCAGTGCAGCGTCTTGTGCCGGATCTGCAGCTCGAGGGCGGCTGTCTGCCCCAGGTCGCAGGTCACTAGGGAGCCAAGGCCGCGGGGGCTGAGCTGCGAGCTGACCTGAGCCCTCAGCCGAGACCAGGCCGGGGCGTCCTAGAGGTCTTGGGACACGCTGCTGTGTCCTCTGATTTGGCCAAGCTCCAGCCCACGGTGAGAGGGAAGGAGCGACTCGCTGCGGATCGGGGCTGGGTGTGGGGAGGGGAGGACCATGTGGTGCCTGGGCAGGATTGGGGAGCCCCTGTGGGCAGGCGTCCCCCCAGAATGAGGGCTCTGCCGCAGCTGCCGCGTGCAGCCAAGAGCCCCGGGGGCAGGCATCATGTCCTCGGCGGAGGCTCGGGGAGGTGGGGGCAGCCGTGCAAGTCGGGTCCCTGCAGGAAGGAGCGGTGGGGCGCTGAACCAGGCTAGGAGCCTCTGCCCTGGAGCTGTGCAATAGATCAGGGGGTCGCCCTGCTCCCCCCTTGGTGCTCCCTGCACCGCTGGGCCCAGGTGCTTTGCGCAGAACTGAACGTGCCTCGGGGCATGGCCCAGACCCACCTGCCTCATCCTTGCTCTCCTTGTTGTCGTCCTCCTGCGTCTCGCACTCCACCTGCAAACAAAGCACACAAGTCTTGAGCTGAGCAACCTGGGGACCGGACGCAGCACCAGCGTGCAGGGTACTTGCAGCAGGACACAGCCCCGCAGGAAGGACCGAGGCCCCAGTCCCCACCCCATCTGAATGGTGCTGGTCGTGGTGCAGGAGGAGAGCACTTGTGAGCAAGCCCTGGGTTACGTGGGGAGGAATTGCTGGCACGGCCAGGCCGGGTGGATGTGAGCGGGGGATGGCAGACTGGTAGCAGCACGGGGGGAGCACGGCTGGTGCCGACGCAGGGCACTGGGGTCGGAGCTGCGGCTTGTCCTCGGCGGGCGTCGCACCTGCATGGGGCTTGGGCCCTGGGGCTGGGGCAGGGGCACTGCCACGCATCAGAGCGGGTGAGTTGGCAGCTGGTGCCCAGAGTACGTTAGGCAGGTGGTTGTCGGCCGGGGCCCCTTCCCTGCACAGTCCCTGCGAATTGCGCTCTGGTCCTGTTGCGACGACATCATAACCCAGGGCTGGTGCACGTGGGTGACTGCGTCATGCAACAGAGCAGCCAGGCCGGGGGCTGCACATCACCGGGCCCTGAGGGGCTGGGGTGGGCGCATGACCTGGGCTTGCAGAACCGTAGTGACCGCATGGCTGGTGGCTCCTGGCTTCACTGACCAGTGCCCTGCCCGGGGCAGGGTGGGCACGTGTGCACAAGTGTATGTGCTTGTGCATGTGTGTGCATGCTACAACAGGCAGCAGCAAGGCAGCAGCTGCCACTGCAGCCACATCCCTCCTGCCCAGCTTAAACCCCTCGGGGGCGGCTCCGTGCATCCCTTGAACTCACCAGCGTCCATGTGGTGTCCTTCCCCTGCCGGTGCCGCACCTCCCGCCGCAGCACCACAGCCTTGCCTGCCCTTTCCTCGGCCCGGGGCAGCTGCAGCCTCAGCGTGCCGTTGACCTTGGAGAAGCTGATCTTGCTGGGGGGAGGGTCCAGTTTGACTGGAATGACACTGCAGCCTTAGGCAGCTGTGGGGTTTGAGACAGGCGGGGGGAGCACAGGCCCCGGGGGGTCAGAAGGGGCTTGTGCACACGTATGCATGTGCACACACGCCCACGCCCTGGGGGACATGTGGCCACAGCACAAGAAACGCCTTATTTCCTCCCCCTCCCCAGCCAAGGGGCCGAGGGCGTGACGGGCCTGTGGGCGCTGAGCTCCTCCTGCTAGAGGAGGCTGGTGGGGCCATGGCAGGGGAGGAAGAAGAGGAGGATGACCTCCCCAGGGCCTAGCTGCCCCACGCGAGGTCCAGGCTGCCCCCCGCGCCGGCTCCGCGGACACTCACTGGCATTCTCCAGCTGCAGCGTGATGTTCCTGGTTCTCCAAGTCCTGTCACCGCTGCCCAACTCCGCCCAGGCCGTGAAGTTTTTCAGGAGATACAGCTTGCGGAAAGGAAGCGTGTAGTGCATGGTACTGGCCTCCACGGCCGTGCAGTAGTTCTTTATGCTGTGATAGCTGAGGAGGAAAGCCGGCTCCCTTGCAATGCCAGGCCTTCGCCCTCCTTTGCCTGGGAGCCGCGGCATGGTGCCAGGGCTGCCCTTTCACCATGCTCCTACCCCCTTCCCGTGCTCTGGTCCTGCCGGAGCAGTGAGCTGGAGCCCAGCCCTCCCAGCCAGCTCTGGCTCCATGCATGGGGGGTGCTCCTTGTGGGACGGGGTCGCATGCTGCGGGTGCAGAAGCAACGTGCCCTGCAGCCCCGGCAGCCACCCTGCTCGGCCCACTGCTGGCACGTCCTACTCACCAGTACTTGAACCGGTAGGTGGCATTGCCCAAGGGGGCCGTAGCTGTCCAGGAGCAGTGGAGATCGCATCTGTTGCAGCGGCGGTAGCAGAGCAGGTCGGGGTGGTCTGCAGAGCCTGTAGGCACACATGGAGGAAGTGGGTGAAGTTGCTTTTCCCTGCTCCGTGTCCCCTGTGGGCTGCGGTTCCAGGAATGGCCGGGATGGAGCCGGGCGAGGAGCGTGTTGGCTGCGCTGCGCTGTGCTGGGTGCGGCTGTGATACAGCTGGTGCTCTGAGTGCATGCGGGAGCACCATCCTGAGGCTTTCCCAGGGCTCATAGATTCATAGATGCCAGGGTCGGAAGGGATCTCAATAGATCATCGAGTCCGACCCCCTGCATAGGGAGGAA